CTTCCAGAACTCCACAGATCTATCCAAATGAAGTTTAGCATATTCAAGTGGGCCTTTTATGTACTTCATGATCAAGAGTAATTCTGTGAGATGTCCCAACTAGAGGATGACACGGGAGTGGATTTTCACTCCTGTCCCGTCCCACTCCCATAGAAAGAAATCTTGTCCCGTCCCACTCCCAGACCAAAGTTTAAAAAATAATCCCATCCCATCCCGCTCCTGGTAAATTGACTCCCACTCCCATCCCGCTCCTGTTTAAACTGACTCCCGCTCCTGTACCGCTCCCATATATTTTTTTTCTTCAATTAGTGCTTAGTTAATACATAGAATTTGATTTAATCTGCTCTCCATCCTGTTTTAGACCAGCTGCTGAGCCCCTGTTTCTAGATTTTCTCCAGAAAATGGAAGACAGCAAATAAAAGAAAAAGAGTACATAGTTCACACCATGTCTACAATAGTTTAATAAACCCAAACAGCACATAAAGCTGGATTTTACTCATTTATTGTTGAGTAAACAATATATTTATAGTTTACATTTATAGTTTCTTTTAATTACATGTTAACGATTTTCATAAATTATGCTCTTGCATAATGAGTCCATCTTAGTTATATGTTGCTGTGTAGGAACAAAAGTGCATCTACATTGTCTGGATTGAGTAGACATGTCAATACTTCTGACTTTGCGCTGTAAATAATTTTTTGCCACATCGACTTCTCCGCGGCTGTTAGCTCCCTCCATCACTGCTCTTTGAATTCCGGCGGTAAGCCGTGACAAAAAGCACTGATGGCTTCTGGGACGGCTGGGTCGAGTAGTTATTTTTTAATTGCGTACATTGTAGGCGTATTAAAAGGAAACTACAAAATGGTGCATTTACTTTTTTCTTTTTTTTGTCGTCTTTGCTATTGGTTGATTCCCGCTCCCGTCTGCTCCCGTTAACCATTTATCCTGTACCGTCCAAATCCCGTGATTAATAGCAAAGATGACTCCCATCCTGCAGGAATCCCACGGGAATCCCGGGACCCGTGGGATTCCCGAAAAAATGTCAGCCTCTAGTCCCAACATGAAGGCCATATGCTTGTCTAGTGTTCTTCTTATACTCTGCATTGAAATGTGTTTCGTCCTTTCATCAGGTCATCTTGCAGGTCTCTGGCAGTAAATTGAGTTTTTGATCAAACATTTGATTCCCCTTAATGATATTGTGCTTTTTCTTCAAACCCCTCAGAGATGTTCTGGTACAACACATTTTAAACATATAAATAAGCCTGCAGTTGAGTCTCTATATAGGAACTTTTAGTGTTTTGAAAATCTTACTTGGGTGAAATGGCTGCTGGCAATTTCTAAATGTATATGTAACAGCACAAATTCAGTTTTTTAATTCACATTTAGGAATTTCACACGTTTCAAGTTGAAGAAGAAATAATCAAAAGGAATAAAAAAAATAGGCCTACCATGTTGAAAACTGCTGTCTGGTCATTTTTCAATAATGATTTGACACAATGTGCTTATTAGCATCAGATATGGAGTGACTAAAAATACACTTCTGCAACATCTGATATATTTGGATGTACATGTATGTAGGATAAATGTTTGACATGTTAAACATATTCATGGAAACAGGAAACAAACTTCCCTCTTCATGCAGGACTCTCATCATGTGAGCTGTCAATCAAAACACACTCCTTCATGTATGAGGTTACAGGTTTCAGAACAACACAGCGACTGAATCTCGAGTAACGTTTTGATGGAGTTCTCCGGTGACCCACTGTTTAAAGAAAGGCCTCGGAGGCGAGTGTTTCCTTTCAGTTGCCATCAGCTCGCTTTTTTACAGTATGATTAATTAGGGTTATTACTTAACTGCCGTGTTACCTTACATCGCAGAGATGGAGCCCGCCAGTTTCGCTCAGAGCCAAAGCATTGGTGGAGTTTTATGAATGCTGGGGAACTCATGAACAGAGATGCGCAATTACAGCCATGAGTGACTGCTGTTCTGTTACACGTACTATAAAGCCTGGACACACTATATATATTATTGTCATTACTACAATTTAAAATAATGGTTTTCTATTTTAATTTTTAAATATCATTTATTTCTGTGATGCAAAGCTGAAATTTCATCAGCCATTACTCCAGTCTTCAGTGTCACATGGTAAATGCAGTTTATCATAAAAATATGTACAACATGAGAGATGAGAATTATGAGTTATGAACAAAATCGAGAGCAGAGATCGGGGAAACCGGGGTTAACCTCACAGTATGTTTATAGAAGCTTATAATACATAAATCAACAGTAAAACGAAATGGCAAAAATGTAAAAAGTAGGCCTACGTAAAAAAATAACAAACAAGTGTTTTTGGACAAAACACTGTAATTGACCTGCATAAACTAATAACTAAAAAAAATGGTGACCTGGCATTTATGAAAAATATGAATACGATTAATTTTCAAGTTGCATCTTCCCGTTAAATTCTGCATTATTCTCTTGTTTACTGAAGAACTATTGGAAAATTATTAGGAAAATGACATTGGGATTTTATTTTGGTGGAAAAAATTCACAAAACAAATATTGTAAGAAGGGTGTGAACTACGTTTGAAACAATACATAGGCTACATTTGTTTAATTTGCACTCAAACACTAATACTGAGATTCATGTAAGATGTGTTTTTACAAATTACAAATATATTCAAATTTGACACAAATTTCAATGGATATTACATTACATTAAAGGTGTTTTTAGTTTATTATAAATGCATTTAGCTGTACACTTTAACCATTTCAACGAAAATAGAAGTAATTGTGAAATTACATATAAAGATGTATAGCCCTACTTTACAAGTTAAAAAAAGTAGACGAACTATTTTCATTGAATTGCAAATAACATTCCATTAAGTGTCCGAAAACATTATCAGATCACATGAAATAGTCTTTTAAAAGAGCCTATATTATTTCCGTAAAAATAACGCCTTAAAGGTGTGTTTAAAGTGTCATTCTTTTTCGCATGGCCATGAAGCACACCTAAGTTGAGTCGAAAATTTAACGAGTAATAAATATGAATGCTGATCTTCTGGAGACTTCTGACCACTGAATAATTCGCTCTAACGAGCCACAACTGTAGGCCTATTACAACGACGACGTGGTGATTACATTTTTATCATTTTATTTTATCGTAATTTATTTAATTTTAACTAAATAATTAATTAAGAACATTTCATTTGAAAATGTGTGTTCTATTTTTTTTATAAACGAGGGAAAATCTTTCGTCCCGCCTATAGGCAGTCACTAAAATGAATAACCTAACGCGGCCATTAAATAGGCTAGTAGCCTATAAGTAAATATTATTCAAATGAAACATGAAATGCTTAACTATAGGGGAAATAAGTACGGTTTGCACAGGTATCGGCACTGAATAAAGGAGGTCTCTGCATGATGGACTGAAGCTGAGGTGTCTGACCCTCACTCAAGCATTGCGGGCTGGCGCCAGAGCTACATCAGGTGTAGGGTTACTGTTTGTTGTGGCCTGTGTACACTAATAGGCCTGTTGGATGTCACTGTCGGCGTCACCTTTACGGACATCCACTTTGCTTCAGCGAAGCACAAACCAATTTACCCGCATGCTTTCAGGAGGGAGCACATATATGAACACTGCAGTGATTACTAACATGTTTGTATAATATTAAGTTATTTAACCAGATATCTTGCCCTATTACATGTTAAATACAACAGCTTAAATTAATGCATTTTTAAAATGACTGAAACGTAATGCCATATGCCAAATAGGCTACATGAATGTAAATATTAGGCCTATATCGTTATTTGTAAGGGTTTTGAAACACTGACTTTCGAATGATTCTCATGTGTTTTTTTCCCCCCAAGACAGTGATTGAATTATGAATAAGTCTTAAACTATTCCACACTGTCATTGTCATTAAAATTGGTTGATGTTATGTATGTATAGCCTACATGTATGTGCATGTGTGTATTGTGTGTGTGTGTGTGTGTGTGTGTGTGTGTGTGTGTGTGTGTGTGTGTGTGTGTGTGTGTGTTATGGATATATGTATCACTAGTTTGTTATTACTTTTATGTAGTCAAATGTTATTTGTTTGTTTTTTTATGTTCTTTTTGATTTTATTGTAATTATATCTATAGGTGGAGGCGTTAAATAAGCCCATTTGGGTTGTTTTTTTGCCTCTTCCTGCACATAAATTGATAATATTTGTCTTATTTTGTTTATATATTTTATGTCTTGTTTATTATTATTATTAGTATTGTCATTTTTATGTAATTGTAAAGGTGCAAAAATATAAATAAATAAAAATAAATAAAATTTGCAAATCCGCAACATTTCATTGAAAAGTATTACAACTATATTAATTGTCTAGTAGCCTACTGGACTATATCGGTTAATACTCTAACATTAATGGCTAATAATAGTATCAACTAAATCCAAAAATAATGTTGAGACTCTAAGCCAGAACACCAAATGAACCGACTCACATTCGTTTCATTTCTAGCCTTTAATACATTAAACTTCGTTTTTGTAACCTAATAGTCAGGTTTAATCATAACATTGATTGAAATAAATTAGCGGTAATTTAAATGTTATTACCTGTAGCTTAATCCCACTTGACAAAATAGTGTGGAATCGCCTTTAAATTGCACATTAAATGGCATTTCAATCTCAACGATCCTCTATCGGAGACTTTTAAACAAGCTGTTGTGTTCGGACAGGTGATGATGGGACGCACAGAATGGGAGGGGTCAGTCTGAGATAAGGACGCTGTGTATTAGATAAGAGCTCTTCAACAGCGGAAAGAGGAAGACAGGGGCTATTCTTCATCTAGAGCTGCTTCTGTGAGGACATACACGTCAAACAACAGCGACACGTCCAGAAGACTTCACTGCGGTGGACCATATTCTTCTGCTCACCTGTGGACATCTGTAGGAACTTTACAAAGTCAACTGATGTCGCTTTGCGTTTGAGCAGGTGAAACGAAGAAGCTTTCTTCCACCTTTCTTCAAGCACGCACACACAAATCTGTCGAGCGATGCTTCCGAGTCCCGTAACCTCGACTCCGTTTTCGGTGAAGGACATCCTCAAACTGGAACAGCAACACGCTCTGAACCCTCACGCACTGATGGGTGTCGAGCAGGACTCGCTTCAGCTGCAGTGTATTCAGAGCACCCTGAGCCGGAGCCTGGATCTGCTCTACAGCCCCGAGAACCTCAGCACGGGCACGGGCACGGGCGCGGGCGCGGGCACGGGGGATCAGCTCAACTCACACGAGTTCGACATCCTCAGAAGCTCCTGCGGGTCTCCAACCGAGGAGGACATGGATCCAGGCGAAGACACAAGTAGGATATTTAGGCCTATAGCAAGTAGGATTTAACAAGTAGGATATGTATAGTTATTATTTATAGCTTCAATCGTCTTATTTCAATAGATGCACTCCAAAAAAAATCAATTAATAGTCAAATTTCATCAAATTGAATTGAATAATCCTTATAGTAGGCTATTCATATACGAATTAAGAATGTTAAACGAGTAAAAAAAACTAGAGCTTAATAAAACATTTTGTATTAATCTTAATGGAACAACAAGGGAATGGATTATTTAGTTTATGTGATTCGTATTCATAAATGTAAACAAATTCAACGTAAAAATAAAAAAAAAACAAAGTAAACGTAAACATATGGCTAAATATGTTTAAATTTACGTTTAAGATTTATACAAAATGTTTTATTAAGCTCTAGGTTTTTTTTTACTCATTTCAAATTCTTAATTAATAATATGTAATGGTCATTCAACTAAATTTGATGAAATTTAAAATTAAATGCGTAAATCTCAACAACAAAAAAAGCTTACATTTATTTTATGCACATATCTGGTTTAGGAAAGGGTTTGGGGCTCAAAAGAGGGCTTTCAAATAGGCTAACATACTGTCAAATAATTGCAAGTTGAAGGATTTAGGAAATCAACGTTTTTTAGTTGGTTTTAAATATTTAGTTACAATCCAAAAAATATATTTCACAGTCTGATGCTAAGATTCCACTTTTTTTTTTAAGTCAGTTTAACGTAATTTAAGTTGAAATTACTTAAACATCCAAGTTCATTGTAAGCTACTTAAAAATATAAGGCAGACAATTTATTTTGCAGTAGGCTACTGACTGATCAGTTATGTGGGCAGAATTATGGTAAATTGGGACACAATTATCCTGAATTAACCTTACATAAAAAAAACGGTAACCCTTTAGTTTAGGGTCCAATTCTCACTATTAAATTGCTTATTAGCATGCACATTATTGGCTGTTTAATACTTATAAAGCACATATTAATGTCTTATGCATGACCCAATTCCTACCCAATACATACACGTACAACTTTTAATAAGCAGTAATTCGAGTTCATAGTTAATAGTTATTTATTAGTGAGAATTGGACCCTAATCTAAAGTGTGACCTAAAACATATAGATTAGCACTAGCCAATTTGTTGTTGTATTTATTGATCCTCTTCATTCGGTGCATTTCATATTACATTTATACGCAGAATATATTATTATTATTATTTGAATTTGTAGGCCTGTGTCCGTTTGACGACTCCAGCTATAAAGAGGAAGCACCCCGGGAGAAGCCAAAGCAGAGGCAGCGCAGGAAACCTCGAGTGCTCTTCTCTCAAACTCAAGTGTTCGAGCTGGAGAGACGCTTCAAGCAGCAGAGATACCTGTCCGCACCCGAGCGAGACCACCTGGCTCATGTCCTGAAGCTCACCTCCACACAGGTCAAAATATGGTTCCAGAACCGGAGGTACAAGTGTAAGAGACAGCGACAGGACAGGAGCCTGGAGCTGTCCGGCCCGCGGAGGGTTGCGGTGCCCGTGCTGGTGCGAGACGGAAAGCCCTGTCACGGAGCTCCTTACAATGTCACTGTATCATATCCATACAATAACTATTACAACAGCTATGGAAATAACCCATACCACTGTAACTTCACCTCTGTTCCCTCGTTTGCCAACACAAGTCAGATACCGAACCACTTTGTGGATATGAATCTGACGACGGGAAGTGTGGATGGGATCAGATCTTGGTGAGACATGGCATCGGTCCTAAAAGAGAAGATTTTTGGATTAAGACTATATTTATCCGAGTGGCACTGCTGAAAAAACGCTGAGGAGAAAACACTCTCATTGTTGTCTGATTTTGTACATATATTTGTGTTTTTATATCAGTGGTTTACAAAAAAACAACACCAAATAAAGACTAAATATTTAATAATGCTTCATGGAGATTTTGTCATGCTTGTATTTAGAGCCATTTTGAGATTTTTCAAGAAAGCTAAATTTGATCTGAGATATATTAACTTTATCGTGAGGCTGTGTTGATTGTTATTGGCTTATCCCTGAAATAACGATTTACAACTATTATAGGAAAATAGAAATACTGCTGGTGTCTGTGAGTTCAAACGTGACTGTTAAATTATATCTGAAAAAGTGATTATAGCCTCAAAATAATTTCCTACTGTATTTTTTCGAATGACTTGATTTTTTAGCTCTAATAATACGAACTGTTTGACCATATTTGTCCTTAAAATATTAGGCAGCAGCTTAGCTGGTTCAAGTGGATTTTTTTTACACCGAAAGAAAAACCGGCGGATTTCTGGAACATAACTCAATAAATTCAAGTTTTAATGCAACGTGTGGGAATTTATTTGGACTATTTGATTCTCTAAGTAGGCTAACACAAGAAACAAGAACGGTTGCAGTATCGCAGGGTTAACTGTACAAAGTGAAAATTTTCAGTTTCAGATTTATTTTTTATCTGAATTTTATTATTATTATTCGCTGCCGCTGGTATAACCCAATGACGTCAGGTTGACTCGGTCATTTTAAATAGTTTAAACATTAGAGTAACAAGAAAGAAAGAAAGAAAGAAAGAAAGAAAGAAAGAAAGAAAGAAAGAAAGAAAGAAAGAAAGAAAGAAAGAAAGAAAGAAAGAAAGAAAGAAAGAAAGAAAGAAAGAAAGAAAGAAAGAAAGAAAGAAAGAAAGAAAGAAAGAAAGAAAGAAAGAAAGTTTATAGATGCATATGAAACAATGCTGCTTGAAAAAATATATTTTTTTTTTATTACCCTAACATTTAAAAAAAAAAACTTGATATCCTAACGATGGTTCTGTTTTTTTATTTTTTATATAGGATTTAAGAGGTAGGCCTATTGTATCTCAGATATTTTTGTGTGCGTAAAAATGTTTACTTTACAAATTAATAGGCTATTAGTCACCACAAATATATTTTAAGATTTAATGTTAGTCAAATCGATTAAAAAAGTGATAAAGCCAAAGTTAAGCAAGACGCTGCAATTCGCTGTAACGTCGTAGGCTAAACTAAACCAATTCAATTATCTCCCAATCTTAACGCTTTCCAATGAGCTTGTCATTACACTCACGTTAGCCAAACAGATCCGACAATTGAAGAGTCGTGATAAGTCAGATAGCCAGGATGCAGTGCTGAGAGTAAACAGAAGAGCAGACAAACCGGCACTCTCTCAGCCTTGTCTCGAGATCTGAAATCTGACTGCGAGCCACCTATGATAGGACCTGTCTGATAAAGCAACTCCAGGAGAATCTTTACAAATATGCCAGTTTAGCGCCCTGCTTAAGGTAACAATAGAAACCCTTAGAATTTGAAAATGGGTTCAATTGTTATAATGGGAATTGTATTGATTTTAATGAAAACTGTAATGGTCCCTGTGGGTCTAATTTGTTGCCTTCTATTGGTGGTGTGTTAAAACCATTAAATCCTAATGGAATATTGCCCAAAACACACAACAGGACAAGGGGTGCCATGCAGGCCTGTGTAACAAAACCAGCCCAAGGGCCAATCAAAGCTCAAAACAAGCCGAGTGACATATGAAAACTTGTTGGCCACTCCCATATACACTGTAAAAAGTAAAACATTGGTGTTTTTCGTTTGATTTTTTTTTTTTCATTCCAATAGCCTAAAATTATTAGATTGTTAAGTAAAATTACATTTTGTGATTTGTATGTGTCTTTCAGTCTATTTTCTTAGATTGGTACAATATAAAATTATAACATTACAATGAATTTTAAATTATACATTCGATCAAACGACTTTTATTAGATAAAGCATGGTTTGCGCATGCGCACACGTGAAAACTCGAGAGAAGGTTCTAGAAGAGACCGAGCGCAGAAGTCGGAGAGTCATCTGTTGAACAACGCGAAGCGAACAGGACACGTTTGTCAGGTAAGGGGGTACCATTCAGCATTTAAATACTTGAAAAGTATTAACGTCATATCATTTTAATGAACAGACACGCAGATTAGAAGTTATTATAACATTCATTTTGACATTATAGTGGTAAGTAGCGTTAACGCGCCATTTTACAGCTAGGTGCTAACGATTTTCCAGGGAAATCCAAGAACTTAAGATTATATACCGTTAGACCGATTGAATGGATATTATGAAAGGAAAAAATGATGAATGTTGTTAAAAAAACGATGTATTCATGACTGAGTTTTGAGTAACGACAATTAGCTGCTAACGTTAAATGAATCACCTCAATATGGGAGTGACGTTTAAGTTAGCTAGCTAACAACTTAACGTTAACGTTTCCCGCCCAGAGTTTAAAGTCAGGCTAACTGCCTCTCCCCCGGCTTTCAATATGAACGCAGATTTTATAACGTTATGTTTTATGTATTAAATTTGCGAAGGCGGAAATTAATGTGAGGAAAATAAATTTACACTTTGAAACTGCAAAACTAAAACGGATTAATGACTGTTTGGATTTGAATTTTAGGAAAGCTGCTGCTTGGTTGGCATGGTTCCTAGTTTTGGGCAGTTTTGGTTGTCTGTCAAGTCTTCACTGACACGGGTAAGTTGTTTTTGCGTTCAATACAGATTGCAGGGCAGGAGCAAATGATTATTGGAGAAGTCAAGGTAACTTTACTGTGTTTCAATAAAAACAGTCTTTTTAATAAACTATATGTACACTTACAAAGTTATCAATGCCTTGTTTCAAATGTTAGAACCTTAATTATACTACCAACGAAGTGTGGGGCTACTTTGAACCTTGTTTATGGTTTATAAAACAGTGATTTATACTGAGCATGATGCCCCTAACACTAACATTGTGAGCTTTTTGCACCTTTAGGCTAAATGTGTTCTAAATGTGTCAGGCAGGCATGGCATTATAAAAAAAAATGCTCCATGATGAATGGTCAAATTTTTTATCATGTTTCATTATACTTTGTCTTTTTCAAACCGTATTTCTACTGTATGTGATAAAAAAGGAGCATGTTATTTTAATGAATGCATTTTGTTCAGGTCGTGGACAACACAAGGAGGGAATCAGTTCTTAAATGTTTATTCATCTGCTTTGGTGAATCTGTTCACCATCTCATCAAGAAAATTCAGGTACGTACATCGCTCAGCAATCCACGCACATACTTCCATACTGTACATACAGTACATACAAAAAATTAGAATGTAGTCTAAGTTCAGTAATTTGAGAAAAAAAAGTTACAAAAAAGTGTAACTCATGCATTATATATATATATATTTCACGCAATTATTTGTGCTACTTCTGTTGATTGCAGCTTATAGCTATGTTCACGTATATGCACTAAATACCTGGTATTTTGGCCTCCTTTTGCTTGAATTGCTGCATCAGTATGGAGGCAATCTGCATGTGGCACAGCTGAATGCCCAGGTTGTTTTAAAGGTTGTATCAGCGATTGCAGGCACAAACATAAATGATCATTCATCCTCATGATCCGCTAACTGCACGCCCCATAAGCAGGCCGTCAAAAAAAAAAAAAAAAAACGCGTCTGTAGGCAGCCTAGGCTACGAGATCTGTACCCAAAAAATAAAAGACGGCAACAGTGCTACCAACCACTCATAGTGGTTCCACAAATAGTGTTCCAAACAATTACTGACGTGGAAAAAATAGTGTTCCAACCAATTACTGACTGAACATGAAAATGCTTTTCTTAAGGCATACATTCTGTATTACAAATCCTTGTTTTTATTGGTTATATGTGATATTTTAATTTTCTGAGATACTCCATCAACTGTTTGGTTAGCACTCTTTATTCATTACTATGTATTGTCTCGCCAGGATATGCCAGGTGATAGCCGGAGCAACCAATGGCCATCTTCATCAGTGAGAGCATTGAGAGCACAGAGGTCCTCAGTAACGTGCCCTCAACTGCAGCTGCTGTAACAGTTTTATTTGGACTGCATGTGCTAAACCTCAAATTTCCAAAAGAACTGAAATTAACTATGTCGCCTCTGCACTCTGCTGCATTGTCAATGAATGACTGACAGCCTCCATTTCAGTACTTTGATGAACACACACACAGGATGGGAGAAACGCCTTTACCCCAGTCTCAACTACATCGTAATAGTAGTTCAGTAGTTGTTTGTTGTTTACTGAATGTGGCAATATCTATGTTTTGTATTTGATTTACATTTATTTCTTCTGACAAAAATTTCTGAGAGAACCAGACCAATTGTTTTTAGGTATTTGTTCTTTTTTCTTATTATTGTTCTTATGATATATTCACATTTTAATACTGCTATATATGAAATTCAATTTGAAATGAACTGATTACTTGAACTGTCTAAGAATTACAAGTGTAAGTTTGTTTTGCCAAAAAAGAGTCTAATCTTAAAAACAGTGATTTTCATTCAAGACTTAATAAATATTTAAAAGAACGTTTGATCTGACTCATTGATGTTATGCCAATTGTGAAGCCTTTTGTATTATTTGGAATGAATATTTCAGATTGAAGAAAACTCAATTTAGATCAAGTCTGCTAAAAACACTTTTTTTTATTTAAGCCAATTTAAAATAATGATTTACACCAAATTCAGAAAAGAGTTTGCATGAAATCAAGTCTGTTAAAAACCTTCTTTTTTCCATTTAAGCCAATTTAAAATATTGATTTACAACAAATTCAGAAAAGAGTTTGCATGAAATGCAGAAAATTAGTTTGAACTGAATGGTTTCTGAACATTAGGCCAATGTAAAATCTTTATTGTGAATGGTTACTTCAATTTTATTAGGTTAATCCAATGTTTCACTTTTTACAGTGTAGGCCTGCCTAAAATACATATTTTGCCGTCACTGTATGCGTTATTCACAATTTCATCTTGAAAATCACTAGCCAATAAACAGTGTTTTCATAATTACAATAATAGGCTATGTCAAACCTTTAAATCGCGGAGAAAAACAT